CAAACACAGACAGAAGGCTCATCTTCTGTTTCTTGCCACCTTCTACACAGCTATTTCATGTCATTGACTTACTTTCCTTACCTGCAAGCTAGGCTCTTTACACAGAACCCCTTTTATAGAACAATTTGGGATCTAGGTCTGAAATGAGTATATGAGAATTAAAACGTTCAGTCTGAAGCAAACACATTCACTTCATATACATTGGATTTTATAGGGACAATCACAACAGAAATATTTTATATTCTAAACTCGTAGAAAAATCCAATTAAGCACAAGAACAAGGGCAGTACATGATAACAAGGTTTGGTTGTTTTTCCAGTATTGTTATTCCAGTATTGTTTTTCCAACATTTCAAAATAAAGACCTTTTTTTCATCTAACACGAGCTAAGATTACAAGTTAAAAGACCAAGCAAGACACCTAATAATCGGTGGGAAATTAACAACTATTCATGGGAAGGTATTGGACTGGAATTAACCAGGGTGAAATTACTGGAAGGATTTGCTCATCTGTGCACAATTTTCAGATACAAACCCCTTGTTTGTGATTCAGAGAAAGAAAACAATAATGTTTTTCCAAATTCTTTGATCTGGAGTTTGGTCTAAAGAAGGACTTATCCAAGAGTTTTACTGAGAAGCTTTGGTAAGAAAAAAACATTTTTCTTACCAATAAACTCCACTTTCTATTCTTTCCTTGCACGTGTCCTGTATAAAGAGTTACTTCTTGAGCAAGAAAAGTTACTTACTATCTTCATTAGTACAGCACTCGTAACATGTTTTCATGTACATTCCCTTTATTTTCTTGTATAGAACAGAGACACCCAAAAAAGCACCCTCCTAAAATACGGTGACTCACCAGCCTAGTTAATTTCTAGAGGGAATAGAAAGAGCATGTGGAATACTGAGCACCAAGAAGGCTGCCATATCATTGTTACAGATGCTATCACTCATCTGCATCAATTCCTCCCAAAGCCTTTTGCCACATGCAAACAAAGAATGCAAATGACACAGTCACAAGACAGAACAGCTTTTTGAGTGTGGTACAGACACCCAAGTCCCTCTTTGGATACTGTAGTTTGCCTATACTCTGGTTTTTTTATTTAGCCTTCTATTTTGAAGAATTTAACAATTCTTAGGTGAAGTTGTTTGTTCTTAAGAGTCAGGAACTGTTATCTCTCTAAAGGAAATCAAATTTGGGTCCTATGAATCTTTCATAGCATTTTCGCCCAGAGCAGCAGTTAATAGCTACATTATGGAGAATTACATTATCTCCTAAATTCACCTGCTATACCTAAAATCAAATTACATCTTTCCCACAGTTCACTTACTATGCCATTCAGTATCTCCTATTCTTACCACAAACCTAAATGCTGTAGTACTTAACTTTAAAATGGAAGAAGACATAGAAATTGTGAAGGGTTTTTAAAAATTAGAATAAAGCATTATGATCATAATAAGGACTACAACACATGCAAATGCATTGTCTTCTTCAAAGGTACTGTAATAAATAGGGAAAAAAGACAGTATTTCAGCTACAAGAGAAATAAAGTAGTGATTACTAAAATTACTAAAATGTAACTTTACCTTTGTCAGGTGCATAATAATCTCTACTGCTACCAGACTTACTCCTTTCTGTCCAGTTTTCATTTTAGCAACCTTTGTCAGCTTGTCACACCTGTACATACTTAATTGAACTGCAAGATAAGGACAGCAGTTTATTCTCAAATCTTAGAGACTTAAGTATCAAGTATTTTAAGAGCTGGTAAGGCAGCTACAGCATTCTTGGAAACTTTGGGATATTACAGTAAAATTAAAAAGCTAGACTATGCATTTGGTGCATATGGATAAATGTAATCTTTTCCTGGCACCTACCAATCTCTACAGAGTAGCGACCTGCAGAAGGACAATCCAAGTTAGTTCCCTCTTTCATATCTATTTCTGATTTTTTAAATAAACAAAGCATTGCTAGAGACAATTTTTCTCTGTCTTCTTTTCCTTTAGTAAAACTTCCATTGAGGAATTAGGAACAGTTTTGATCCTTTTGGAAATGGCCTCACAGCATCTGCACATTCTTGAACCCATCACACACGCTGGAAGCTCAAACACCTGAAGATTGCAACATACCCAAGGAATCAACCAGAGATGACTGGCTCCCATTACTGTAGAGCGTGGGACCTTTGTGTCTCCTGTTATATTGATGTTCATACAAGCAGATTTCCATCTAAGCAATTCTCACTTGACTTAAACTGTTCATGAGATATTTAAGTTTCAAGGGCACTGAAAGACTTATTGAATTCTACTGCTTAGCATTTCTGTCTAGAGCTAAAGGAATTATGTGTTCAATCCATGCTTCTAAATTCAGAAGTTAAAACCTGGCTCAACAATGATTGCTCCTGTAAATGGCTTCATTAGAACTGCATGGAGTAGAAAAACAATCATCTAAGACTGCTTAGGACTGCATCTAGGACTGCTCTGGTCCTAAGCCTCCTTCAAATTTACACAGATGAGGTGCTACAGTAAAAGACAAAACAATGCAAATACACAAACCTGTTTACCTATATACAGGTAAAACCAGTAGTTTCTTCTGTGACACAGAAATTAGCACATACAATTGATTCTCTATGTGTATCAAATAGATGTTTTCACTGCTATCATCAGCACAACTGAATGTAATCTGTGTATGTATTAAGTCATCTTTAAACTATGTAGATATGGTTTTGCAGCTCTCCTAACTAAGGCAATGCAAAGCTTCAGGCAGGCTACAGAACTTGATGGAATAGCAGGGCCAGGACTTCAACATATAGAAGACCACAATTAGCTCCACATTACTGTTAGAATGGAGCTGATACTTAATTTAGCTGGTTATAGTTGAGACCAAATTTATCGTTTGATGCTTTAAATCTCTATTCAGTAAAGAACTAATCAAAAGGTCAAAAGCAGTAACATTGAAGTTTAAGTACCAATTTAATTTTTCCATTCAATTGTGTCACATTTTGACAGGTTTCTCCCACAGACCATTTCACTTTCCTGTATATCCTTTCAACAAGGGATAGGAAGAACTCCAGGGTTTATCCTTTGTCCACATTGTTGCTATTTACATGCTTTTAGCACCAAAATTAATTGTTCACTTCTTTGCTGTCTTTTATAGGTGTGTGGGTTTTGTGGTGATTTTTTTTTTCCCCAGCTCCAGTGAAATTCACTGTGTGTGTCTGGGGTCATGAACCACATCATGAAACAAGAGGAAACTTTATGACAGGGATCTGTTTAGAACAGTAAGCTTTCTTTGACAGTTGCCAACAGAGTATCTTCCCAAGCCCATGTCAGAAACAGGCACACCAGATCATACAGAAATCAAAAACACTTTCTTACCTACTAAATATTCCACTAGCAGAAAAGGCAATTTGGCTTCTGACTAAGGCCTATCCTGAAAGCCAGACTTTGTTCCATCTACTAGTCTGCTCTGTGACCTAAAAGTAGGTTACATCAATGACGTGTTTGTCTCAGTTTTTCCTCCCTAGGAAGATTAAAAAAAAATGAAGTCTCTCTTGCAATGTTTGGATTTAAAGGTGAAAAGTACCACGCAGGCATATTATTACAATAACCTGGTTAATCAGGAATGGTCAAATGATATTGAAAAGGCAATGAACATTCATAGTTACTATAATACATACACAAGAGCAGCATTTACAAATGCAGCAGCTTCTATCCTAGGAATCAAAATATATATTTAATAGTGAATTAAAAAAAAATATTTGTTCCTTCCTACTGCCAGGAAGTATGTCAAGAAAGAGTATTTTCTTTGAAGTTGTAAAACTTGCCTAAAAATTAAATTTAAAAAGTAACTTACTAGAGAATAACACTTCTGTCAAAGTCCAGCAGTGACTGAAATGGAATGTATTTTTAAATCAATTTCCTTGCACACATCTTGAAACACCAAAGAAACTGAACTGTTTATTTCAGAAGAATTCATACATATAAGTATCATTTTAGAAAGCTCACATGCAACATATCATTATAAGAATTTGTATATTTTCAAATCAGTTACTTTCACCTACCTGCACACAAAAAAATTTATTCAAATTACAAAAAAGCTTACTTGAATATTGATTTAATGATGTTTTTGTAAACTCCACTTCGTAAAACCAACAATAAATCCTTTAAAATTTTAACCCAAAATACTGATTTTTAAAAGGGGCATTTGTGGAACTTAAATATAAAACATTATTATTTTCATAAAATAAAAAAAAAACACTTGAACATTTTTATATACTCAAGGTTTCTAAAATACTGTAGAGTTGATAAATCGTCATAAATTTAACATAGGTTCCCTCTCATTAAAAGAAAAAAAAGTGGTTCCCAAAATAAATCAACAATTCCCTAGTGCACTTACAAAGAGAAAAGATCAAAAGCTGTAACTCGTATCTTTCCTTCCAGTGTTAATTAGTAATTAAAAATCTTAGCTTCATTAGTACCTACTCTGAAATACTCTGATTTCTGAGGGGAGGTGGGGGGACAGGAAGGGAATGTTACACAGACAAACCCTGCAACAAATGTAATGAAAAATAACCAGTTTTGAAACTGTTTGCCTTCACCACGATCAATAAAGGATATGTGACTCCATTATTTTCTTTTAAATAAGCATCTTCCTTGAAGGCCTCAGCTTTCTTTTGGTCTTGCGTAGATGCATGTATTGCATAATTCTACTGGCCAAGTAACATCGTCTCTCTATGACAGTTTACATATGTCTGATAATTTTAAATGGAAATAAAAGTATTAGAAGTAGTTCTTTGGCATCGTACAGAAGTTGACAGCTCCTACTATTTGGATTAACCACAAGTCCTAGACAAGAATTCCCTGTATTTGGAGCAAGGGGGACAGGACACGACTTGTCACAGTCTCAAAACCAAGTAGATTAAATGAATGTCCCTTTATGCACTTCAAGTTTCTTCCATTTGTAATTTACTTGATGTCTTCAGTACTGATCCCGTGTTCAGTCACATTATCACAGCTCAATATTTCCTGCATACAAGGTAATCATCAGTATAGCAGTAAACCCCGTTAGCAAACCAGCATTCTGAATCAGGAAGAACGTAAGATCCATCTTTCTTCCTGTCACTTTCTCTCGCAGCATATCATTCATCTCTGGGAACTGGAAAAGGGGATATTTTTAGGTAAGTATTGCCATCTCGTGGTAGCATGCATAACTTAAAGCAGTAAAAACTAAACCACATCGTTACTTTGGGCTGAACATTGGAACTGACAGAGGGTGAAGGCAGTCACAGGAACAGGTCACACCAACCACCCTGAAAAACCACTTCTCCAAGGATGGTAAAATGAAATGGTGGTTTGTTCCTCTCTCATGTGACTTCACCTCGTTCTCTCATGCAAATTTCCTCTTTCTGATTCCAGCAGTCTCCTAGGGTCCAACTGTTGATCCATGTATTGCTAGAAGAAGCTGCCCCTGTATTGCTACATGCTGCGTTTCTTCCTGCACTAGGATAAACTGTTCAGGAAATGGAAGATTAGGATTCTTCTGCTTTATCCATAAGCAAATGAAGCTGAAAACACAGACAACCCCTCAGAAATCAGATGTCTGTTACAAACAGAAGATCTGGTGAGCTGATGAGGAAGTGGTAAAAGGAAGGAACAAGAATGTAGTGAAACGGGTGGTCACACACGTAATATTACATTACAGTGCAATGAAGAGATTCTTCATTCCATAACATGCATCTTAATGGCAATGCAACGGCAAAGGATGACTGATTTGCTGTTAACTGCAGAAACAAAGATACTTCCTCTCTGAGAGCCAATGGAGATAATGGCAGCTGACAACTGGCAATAAGGTTCCCTGGATGGGTGATTCAGGGTAGGTGTTTGCTGCAGATGATTTTGACAAGTATACTCAAGTAAGTTTAAATGCTTTTCCTGTTGTGCAGAGAGTGTTGTGCACAGCCAGAACGCCAATGAAGATTGTGTATTTCAGAAACCTTCAGGCTGGGTGACTCAGAAGCTCTATCTTTCTTTGATCTCAGAAGGCAAAAACAAGGCATTGGAGGTAACGCAATTCTTGAAGAACAGACTAAGGTTAGTGGGGAAGTGGCCAAGCCTTCCCAGAAATTTGTAATCCTCTTGCACAAGAGGCAAAACCAGCAAACTGGATGAGCTTCATGCCATCCAGCAAGGTTCATTTGTGCGCACACCTTAGTGTACACATTCTCACATGCCCACAGCCTCACCACACAGTGTTCTTACTGGCAGAGGTTGGACTATGCCAGTACTTTAAAAAAGAAGAGGAAAAAGAAGTTACATTCTAATTAATCCTACCTGCTTCTGCACAAGCAAACCAGAAGTGTGTGAAAATCGTAACAGAAAGCAGAAAGCCAGATCTCTGTACAGAGCACTTGAATACCCTATTTCAGACTTTTCTGGGGGAAGGAAAATGCAGATAGGAAACTGAGCAAATCCTAAAACCTATAAAAAGAGAAACTGGGGAGGAGAGAGAAGGGAGAGAGACAGAAAAAGAGAAACAGAGAACAGAACAACAGATACAATGAGAACAGTGTTACCCGCTTTTTACTTACGAAATCCTATGTTATTACCTAAACTATATATAAACTATATATTAACCTAAACTGTAACAGTATTTAATGAAATAGTCGCTTTAACTGGGTAACAGCTCTTAAACACATATAGAACTAAACTGAGATCCCAAATCTTTTCAAATTCAGGCCTCATGACTCCAGTTCTACAGTCAAATGGATTCTCATCTATCAGACACATCTGTTATTACAACACTGAATTAAACATAATAATAAAACTTAAAATTATTAAAAGATCTCTTGCATTTTGAGATAAAACATCATTTTAAGAATAAATTATGGAATATTGCTTACTGCCTGTGAACCTAGATTTTATTTCCCAACATCTAAATCTAATCCAGATCTTAGCACAATTTCTTTGGCTCATCTCTTCTAGCACATTTTAAAAGAATAAATGATAGATTGATTACTTTGAATAGAGTTCAGCATTTTTTTAAATCTGAAAAACTGCCCCAAAAAACTGGGGCAGTGACTGTTTCATTTAAACCAGAAAATAATTTAAGTCAGGTTTCCACCTAAAAATCCCCAAATCATCACTGTGGTTACACAACACCTTTAATACAACTCAAAACTAAGTATTTAGGGGTTTTTTGTGTTTTTTTTTTTCTTTTAGCTCAAAATATGGCTTAAATAAACAAATTAACCTTCTAAAATAACAATGTGGAACACTTTGCCACTTTCAAATGCTGAAACAAAGTATTTATACTTCTTTACTCCTAGACAAAACCAACCCAAATTCATGAAAAGTTTGTCTCATGCTAAAACTCCTTTTCAGCCATAATCTGATCAGGCATATTTATGCAGTGAAAGGTTTTCATGTTAAATGAAGAAGCATAACTATTTGTACACCTCCAGTAAAGGTATAATTGATTATTTAACATCTGATACTAATTGTAAGTAGATGACACTGACATGAGAGGGACAAAATACTAAATCCTACCAGAGAGACTTAGTGTAGTCTTTGTTTTCTTGCAGAAATGTAAATAACTGAAAATGAAATTATATCTCACCATATCTGCCAGAGAGATGTACAGGAACATTCCACCAGCTACAGCAAAGATTATGTTAGGAGCAAAGTTGTTGCCTACTAATATACCAAAAGCCAGCCCAACGTAACAGGAACATGCAGACAAAAAGTTGAAAACCAGAGCTTGCCGAGTACTCATTCCTGCATTAAGCAAGATGACAAAATCCCCTAAAACAAAAAACACCAAAAAAGAAAATAAGAAAACCGTCTTCAGAAAACAATATTGTTATTTTTTCCTGATTTCAAAGGAATTCTGAAGAAAGATGTGATTTGTATACACATTAGAAGCCCCTGCTGTTTTTCTTCATTCAAATAAATGAAGGTGATAAGGATTTCCCTTCAATACTAAGGAAACATTCTTAAGCAAATAGGTGATGCATAGTTGAGCTAAGAGTAGAGGAACACAGAACCACCTATAATGATTTAAAAAAATAAATACAGCACTATATGCAGCACGTATGAACAGGGGAATTCACACCTCTCTAATATACATTCCCAGCTTCCACCCACCTGCACGTGGGAACTTCCTGTGCTAGAGAGGTGTATTTTGGTGCTTGGAAAGTTTCTGGTGAATATTTTTTCTAGCAATTTGTTCAAACTTTCTTTCAATCTGTGCCAACTTGTGGCCAGCACAACATCCTATGACAGTGATTTCCACAGTAAACATGTTGAACGCAATTCCTTACCCAATTCATGAGGAAACTCTTCACACAAGATGGCTACAGAGGTACTAAGCCCTTGAAACAGAGACAAAGTGAAAGAAGCACCAATGGCCAAACCATCTATGAAATTATGTACAGCATCACTCAGTGTTACCATCCAAGCAATGGTCCCAATTTTGGACAGGGGACGCCCATGAAGACATTTGCATAAGCCACCTTGAGTGGCTTCTTCCTAGAAAAAAAATAACACAATAAAGCAATTACTTAAAACATTGAATAAAGATGCAAACAAATCACACTTCTGTCTTTAAATGAATTCCAAGCATAACATAAAGGACTACCGCATATGGAGACCAAATGCTCAGTCCAAAAAGCAAACAGCACAAGTAGCAGCAGCAAATGTTTCTGTTTCAACCAGTGAATGTGCAGGAGCCAATCACCCTTCAGACCAGAGGCATCTGAATGTCTCTCTGCAGCCTCTGTCAGATTAAGAGTGCATTGAGGCTCCTCACAGCCTTCTGTCACCTCTATTAAGCCTGTACAGTCAGAATGATCCAATCACAGTGACTGACAGCATCTGTGCTTCCTACCCAAAACACATCTGGACCAGATATCTACTGCCAGTACCTCATGCTCAAGGAGACACACTTAGCCACCACATGTGAATACAGGCACATATCCAGATACTTCATAAACTTTCTAGTTTTGGGCAATGATAGTCAAGTCCAGTTATCCACATTAGTTTCTAGAAAGTGCATGTTTAATAAAAACACCAGTGGGTAAATACCAACAGTGACTTGAAGGCTCTGAGCATGAAAACAACAGGCTAATATAAAACTGCAACATACACATACACACCAGGGATCTCATTAATTTCTCCCAGAAGTGGAAATAATTTATATATGTGGTGCCATGAAATCATGAAAAACTTGAAGTAGATAGAAGAAACTGTTAGCTGGGAGCACAGACTAACTTTCTCTAAAAATTCTGATTCTGATAAAATTTCTGTCAAACATATAGTTTAGTTACATAACACTTGCAAGCACCATAGTATTTCCCCTGTAAAAATCAAAGGATTTGCATCAAAGGCATTAACTAGTGCTTGCTGACTGAATACATTAGCAGTAATATATACATCTGTGTGCCCAAAGATATATTTCTAGACCTCTCCTCTCACAGGAGAAGAGTATAGGTAACACCTTTTCCTCCTTAGGAAAAGGCTACTCCAACAAATTTTCCTTGGTTATTAGAAAGAACATGGCAATATTGATTTTATCCTATCAAATACAAACACTACTAGGCAAGTGAATTTTGAATGTCACGGATTTATAATGATTAATACATTCTTACAAAATATTTCATGACTGAGCAGTAAGATCCATCTTATCACTTGCTCTTATCTGACATTGGAGCTGCCTTGGGACAAGACAAAATTTCAGGTCAGGGATTTCTGAGTGAGATGCCTATCACACTACTTGGAACTTGTAGCCTTCGCTGATAACGCCACAACTGCCATCAAACACACTTCCAGCTCCTATTCAGTGCATAGAAGTCCTGAAATGGTATTTTTATGATGTGAAAATAAGCTATGGTATTGCAAAAGATGAGAGTTTCCCTGCTGACTCAAATACATAAGTTTTAGATTTGCACTATGTTTGCCTTCAGTTTTGGAGGTTTTCCTCTCCATTTCATCTAACACAGGCAATGCCAATCCTATTTTTAGTATGATTTGTACCTGTACTAAAACTGTTTGAGATAGGAAGAACTCTGAATAATAGACCTCTCTATTAATCCACAAAGGCAACCTGAACATCACTTTAAGACAGAAACATTACAAAGCAAGCCACATAAAATACATATATTAGGTAACTGGAAGTAAAAAGAAATATGAGTATGAGAAAACTCAAATACAATTAGCAAAGTTCTTCCACGTATTCATCCAGCCCCCCGAGCTGAAGTTCTGTTCCCCTTTATTTTTTTTCTGTTTCCTGGTGACCATCCTTCAAGCTGCCTAAGAACCAACTGACACATTGTTTTGTAGATCCTCCCTGTTTCTGACAAAAGTACTTCTCTTTCTCAGGTGTATTTCTAGCTTCACTGAGGAAAGGGAGTTTGAGAAAATGCACAGATTTTAATTTTGAATAACTCATTCATTTTTCTACTTTAAAAAACAACAACATTCTTTTGGAAATAATTTAGACACAAACTCCAACAACAAAAGCAAGTATTTTCTGATAAAACTACACTGTTTCTCTCAGGGGACTATGTTTTGTGTATATTAGCAACTTCTATTATACATGAGAAAGAGAAGCAGTGGTGTTCTTTCTGTAAAGCCTTCTGTTACCAAAAACTTCTCACATCAAACAGCAAGCATCTCCAGAAAACAAATGGTTCTATGAAAAGAGGTTATTAGGATGAAAATTCCTAAAAGAGCAATGAGAACAGTAAGCAAATAATACAAATGTGCACAAATGTCACTTGTACATACTTGCTTATGTTTGTTTCCATCAAAGCACTTTTTTATTTTCTGTGGGAACCATGTATGCGCCTATGGTTTTCTGAGGGCTCTAGTGATGTAACTTAGCCATGGAACTAAGTAAAAGACCCATTTCTGGAACCAATTGCATAGCTGAGAATTCCACTAACAGTCCAAAGCATTGCTTATGTATGACAAACATAAAAATGTTATCTTGAGGGCTTTTTTGTTGAAATAAATAATTTACAAATATACGTGCTGAACTTCCTGTGTGTTTATGAAAAACATGAACACTGAGTGAGAAGACACTATTAAGAATTAGGTGCCAAACTGCTCAAGAATGGAACTGACTCTAGAAATGTGCTGAGGTTTGGGTTTTTTCAATCTATGTTTTTTAAGCAATTGCAATTAATTTGGGAGAACAGTATTGCTGCAGAAACAGCTGTAGTTCAAAAAACAGGCATTGATTTCTGTAAGGCATCTGTAATACATACACAACTATCTGCTGTTTACTGTATAGCTTTGAAGTATCAAGATTCTTGCCTGCAACCTATTTTAGATAATGCTTTAACTTCTTCTGTAAATTATGTAAGATGCAATGACATTACCTGTCTGGGTTTACATTCTGGCCTTTACCAGATTGTGTGTAAATGAACAGCTAATATATATTCTTAATGTTTAAGATAAGGCAAACTGCTGACAAATTCACCCCACAAATACATAGGATTTCAAAGCAAAAATGCCTGAACAAGACAAAAACAAGGCAATAGAACAATGTCTATGCTCGACTGTCCCCACTTTGTCATGATAGTTTAGCAGATATCACAGAAGAGATGCCAGGTAAAGAGCTCTGTAATACCCAGCAGGACTATCAGGTCCAACTTTTATTAATTATTGGTGCCGTTCTGTATTCCTCTCGAAGTACCCACAGGACCAAGAAGGACTCCTGACAGTGCCTCTAGGGCATAAAAGCCATCGTAAAGCTTTGTTATAAAACTCTAACTTTGTGCACTCCAGGATGCAGACATTTCAGCAATTTGTCTCAGAAACAAGTTCTCTGCAAAGTTACTGCTGTCAAGTCCTATGATTTTAATGCATAGTAGCTAAAACTTTTGGGTAAGCCCAGAAGAGGTTTCCAAGGTTGCAATTACTGCTGCAAATGAAACCTGAAGGTAGGTGATTAATTAAACATTTAGATTTACTCTGGCATTCAGTCTGTTCTGGCATTGTAAGAGACAATACAGCTGGATCCCTACAGCTGAAAACAGTCACCACCAGTTGGCACAATCGGACTTCAAACTCCCCCCTTAACGCCTTCATGATGATTTCTGGCTATGCTGTGTTTGCCCTTTCTAATAAGATTTAGATTAGAAGGACACATTAAAATTCTATTAGGTATGTGTGGGCTTTTACCAAATGGTGCCTTCGTAACTCCCAAATGCCTGTACAGTTGAATGCAGACCTACGCTCATGGCACTATCCTAGCTGCCCCAAAACCCCTAAGCCACCTTGGCTCTCTCCCATCCCCTGACTCTGAAGGCTACCTGGCCCCTTTGAAGATGCCTGGTGAAGAGTAATGATAGGGTTTTTTTGTTGCTACCTTTAAATATCCACAATGGGCTATCTGCCACCCAGACTTCCTAGCAGCCAGCCTTCGCTCCAGAGTGATTTTTATTCTGTTACTTTTAGGAGGGTTTAATACAACACATTCTCTTCCTGGCTTTAGAGAAAGAGCAAGGAAGAAAGAACGAAAAGCATGAACCTTCATAAGAAAATAAGTAGAGGAAAAGAACTTTTGTGAAATGTTAAGAAGTTCTTGAAGTCAAGACTGCACGTAAAAGGAGATTTGTGAGTATTCCACAAAACATCTTGGTGTGAATACAATACTTCCATATCACAAGCACTAAATCTAAACTAGTTGCTAGAAATAAATGCTATATAGTTACAATATATGGTATTATTTTGTTGTATTTATGTATGTGTAAGCAGATGGCTAGCTAAAATATAATAATAGGATAAGTCTAGATAAAAATTCTGGTAAACAGAGCAGAAAAAAAAGACCCGTAACACTGGAGACAACAGTCCCCATAGAGAGTGAAGAGTTATTTCGTTTGCTTTATAAATCTAAAAAACACAGTTTAGAAACACTCATAATACAAATTTCTCTCTTGGCACTCATGCAATTTTAATTATTAAGCATGTTTCTCCTAGTTTTCAAAATGCCCAGTATCCACCATACTCCACGACTATTCTACAGTAAGGACAAGTACAATTTGGTACATTAAACAGTGTGCAATGAATGCCCTGTGAGCCTGCAGGGTCAATGCAGAGCTCTCACATTCTCTCTCAGCTGTTAGGGCCTGTCTCTGGCTTCCTCTTCTGCTCCTCACTGCTCCCCACAATTTTGCTGGCTAAAGAACACAGGTGGCAAACCAAAAATATCTACTATTAAAAAATACGCCTTAGCCATCAGAGAACTGTTTCTACATGTTTTTTTGTTATTTTTAAGTAACAGTACTCCTATGCCTTGTACAGGGAAAAGAGCAAAACACACCAGCTCTCTCTTCCTGCTTCCATTTTCTTCTCAGACAGAAGGAAGTCATATTTGTAGTACAAAAACAAACACAGAAATATAGAGAACAAATCTGAAAGAGAGTAATGCTCACCCCAGGAGGAACAGCTTCTGTCTTAACATACTATCTCTGTAATTCCCACAGTATCCAAACATACTGGACTAGCCCAAGCACTGCTCATAATATTCTGCACAATAGCTATTGTATCAGTTGTCATCATGAATCATTGATTCAGAGGAATCAGGTTCTCACACAGCTTTACACAGTCAGGAACACAATATGGATCATGCAACACAAACACACTTATCACTCTTTAAGCAAAATAGTAACGACAATATTGAAATATTTATTAGCTATTTTTGATGGCTACAAGTTGAATGCATCATTCAGCTTTTATAGGCTGGCCCCCAAAACTCATATTTTTCAAGCAAGTTATAAGCTGTATATGTACAAAAAGTCGACTAAACTAGTAACATTCATATTAACTCTTTGCTCAGATATGCTTATAAAATTGGCAGGGATAAATAGACACATTTTTTCATACCTGCGCTGAGACCACACTGATGCTGTCAAAACCAAGATTTCCATTGCTCTCTATGACAGCTGAATTTGCATAGCATGTCCCCCCATTGCTGGATGATAGTGCCTTGGGTGGGTTAGTCTTATCCTGAGAATGATTCTGTTCACCATTTCCAGAGTCAGTATGGCCAGTCTAGGTGACAAAGAAGTAAGTAGCTAATTAAAATAAAATCAAAATAACAACATTAAGAAAATAAGAGATCAAAAAAGAAAAAGTGGGGGCATCATATTCATGCTGTCTTTCTTTCAGCACCAAGTACATGTTTAAATGGGCAGCAGTAAACATTTAAATGTTTAAATTAACTTCCTTAAATTAAGTTCCAAACTTATTCCTCACTTTTTAGTTATCAGAGTATGTCAGGGTTTTTCATTTTTGTACCATATATAGAACTTCCCAAGATGAACACCTGACCATAAGTGATTAACATTTGCTAGTTATTCCAGGCTGATCATCAAATACCGCTTATTAGTCTTTGTCAACTGCTCCCAAAAATAAAGGGAATTTATATATATATATATTTTTAATTATTATTTTTTTTTCTGCAGTTACTATAAAAGGACAGTTGATCTTCATAATCTTCAATATTAGCAACATTTTGGGAAGGGGGACCTTACGTGAGGTAAAAGTAGGAAGACAGGACAGTTTCTTTTGTAAGATGTGAACAGAGAATCAAAGATTTTGAGGGCCTACTCTGGGAGAAATTCTGCCTCACACATGTAAGCACACAGAAACAAACATTCTGCCATATGGGTAGAAAGTAGATGTGCAGCACAGATAACTGCAGCATCGCTAAAGCAGGTCTGTGTACACAGAGCTGAAGTTATTAAAGGTGAGATTCAGGCACTGTCAGCACTGTTACACTTTAACAGATGACTAAGAAGGTATATTTGTCACATTGATTTCTCCTTCCCAAAGGGGAGCTCCAGGGGCAGTCTCCATTCTCTCCAGCTCTTACATATTTCCACTTTCTTCTGATGCCTTTAGCTAGCACAGACTTTGCTGTTGAGAGCAACTACAGCACATGCCAGTGACAGGAGGCCACACTCACATCTGCACTCTCTTCCCAGCTCTGCCTATAGCTCCCTCAAAAAAGTGAAATTTCTTCCTCTACCTATATGTATTACATATATATATAAAACAGATATATTAGAACATGTGGTAAGGTTGAATTCCTTTGATAAAATAGTAAAAAACCCCACATTCTATGAAACTATCAAGTATCTCATAAAATGTTAACAGCTGTAACATTTCATTACCTGGTTATAGATCTTCAATATCACTTTAAGAATCCTTTCCACAAAGAAGAGAATATAGAATCCACCAAACACAGCAACTGCTTTCTCAACATAGTTATCTACTTTGGGGTCAAACCCAAATGCCTAACAGTGAATAAAAAGCAATGCAAATTAGTCTGTAATCTTAGCACATTTCCAGAAAAAACAAGCAAACACACACCCTGCACACACAGATACTCCTCTAAAATACAGGCTGTCTCTCTTCCAACCAGGAGTTTCCATGAGGCTGACATTATGAAAGATCCAGATCTGTTTTTCTATTATTATTTAGATTAAATGTTAATAGTATTTTAATTCAGCAGAACTTTACATGCAGTATATGTAGTAGTAAAGTGCAAGACAAGGAGAGTCTAACTTGTAGCCTATTAATGTTCCTTGGAAATGTATCCAACGCATTTCTCATTCTGCCTAGAAATAGGGGGCAAGAGGGCAGAACAGACCTTGGTCTTTTTCATGGCACAACCAGACATAACTCTTGATGACTCTGCTCACTCAGCCAGAAGGAGATGGTAGCTAATGGTGCTGAAGCCCACCACAATTCTCTGAAGATTGCAACCCTTACACAGAACCTCACTGCAGCATTTTTCTAAAATTAACACACTCTAGAAACCAGTATACAAACCAAGTAACAATTCCCCTTGCTTACCTCTGGAATGAGCTGGAAAATTGCATTAGAAAAGAGAGTACCAATGGCCAAGCCCACAAAGTAGGTTAAAACCTTGGGGAAATACGACTTCTTTAACAGTGGAGTTAAAATCAATCCCAGAAGTGATGCCAAGTTAATGATAGTCACAGCCAGGAACCCAAATCCCCAAACTGTGGATAAACAGGAAAAAATATAAAATATTTTAGTATAACACCCACATCAGGCTGTTTGTCATTTTTCTAACAGCTAAATTGGCATGGAATTGAGGAAAAAGAAACAACATGGTTCCTTGGTTGAAATTATACTTCACAAATATAAACACCTAAAATGCATAGATACTGAAGATGCATACCTGCAGAAAGGTAATCTCTGGAAGCTTGTCTGGGACTACCATATTAAAAATGGAAACTGTGCTGGTATAAGATCTGGGACAGCCTACCTGCTGCTAGTATAAATCAGTTCTCTCTACAGTTTGTGAAGAGTAAAAATTAAGGCTCAGACCAACAGTTGAAATAACTGTAACATAGACTTAAGACAAAACTTCATACTAGTCCCAGGGTTAGAACCAATTGTCGTTAACTCCTAAGGAACTCAAAGATAGAAAATCTGCTGTCTTTGCTGTGCTGTATCAAAATACCCTTCCTGAAATAATTAAATAGAGAAAATAAAGTCTATTTTAAGAAGAGGTTCTAGACTCAAAAAGATAGGCAAGTGATTTAGGTACACAATGGGAAAAATACATCATTGGAAGTGGCAAATGCAATAGGGTTCACCATAACAGAGGCTCCTTCACCATAAGCACAGTCCCAGGTTTTTAGAGTTCAGAGATGAGGACTTGCACAATGCCATCCCATAGCTGTTATGAAGTCTGAATTATAGGTGGTGTGAGGGTGTGAGTTCATAAGCATCATAAAATTGTGCCTTTATGCATGACTACTGTTTCTCCCAGCAACATCTCAAGTCCCTGTGAGTACAGAGAAAAGCTTTAAAGGTTGCACTGAAAGGCTACAACACTCTCTCAAGTGATGTCACAGAACCACAAAGTTATCCACTTAGCAGGTCTGCCTATAAAAATTAACCACAAATAATAACCAAGGCCAACACAATGCTGGCTTTATGAGAACAGTTTGGGATAATCCAGAAATTTGCATCATTCTAAGCTTTACAGTATGTATATAGAGGAGGTGCTAGAAATTCATTTCTGCATAGCAGAAACCAGCAGATCAGGTTATGATCTGCAGCCTAACTTTCCTGCAACGCAAGCGACGAACACGCTAAGCTGGATTCCTCACCTGTGAGTGGGATGGCTCTGCTTCATTTGCCAGAATTTTGCCACAGTATCACAATTTTTTATATGTAATGAATTTTATATTATGTTGGGTACAGAAATCATTAGAAACATTTAATGCTTTTGCAAAAGGTAAATCAATGCCAATTAGAACATTCAGTTGCCATTTTTGAGAAAGAGAAACAGAGAGAGAGAAAAACACACAACTAGATATGGTTAGGTTCACTAAGCTATACAGGAGACTAATTCCCATTAAAATAAATTACTACTAAGCTTGTAAATATATATTTGAAATCAAATCTGTTATAAACAAATTGACTTCCAATGCAACCATGAGTCACAAACCACTGTTTACAGTTTGGGATTATGGCAGAAGCACAAGTCTCTTTCAGTTCAGTTCAGTATACAGACAACTCCTACACATTATTCTGTGCAAAACATGCATCTTAAACTGAGTTAAGAAAATAAAACCCCAACTTAACAAATATGAAACACTTACTGTACTTGCCCAAATTACTTCATCAGACACAGGAAATTAGAACAAGCTACAGAAATTACAGTCAAAAGTCAGTAGTAATTACTTTTTACAACAAAAGACAAAGAGGATAAATTTATAAAATGTGTGTGTAGATCAGAACGGAGCCTAAACCCAAGCACAGAAAAGCAGGGTATTACCCAATTGTGAGATAAATTCTCACAATACTATATGCCTCACTAACAAAAGGTCTAACTTCCATGCTAGTACTCTTTTTCTCCGAGCAGCAGGACATACAGGACAGCAGGACATACAACATCTACTTAATTTGAAGTAGCTGTTATAAATGACAAAACAGTAAATAATTTGTATTTTTTATGTAATGGAAGATGTCTCATAATGCACTAAAGAACCTGTTCTCACAAGTAGGCCCATATTGTAAACCACTGGTATGCAGTACTCCCCTTTTGTTACATGAAAAACATAAAAGGAAAAGCCATCTTCCAGATGAAGAGATAGAGGGTGCCAGAAGATAGATGCTATTTTACTTCTAAAATTCTGCCCTAGACCTGGGTGGCCTGAAGAACTTGGAATATGTAAAATGTCGAATTTACATATTGATACTTTGTTTCTGATTTACTCACCCAAAGTGGAAGAATAAGAAAGAATTAAAATATGTGATTAAATAACCCCAGACAATGAAATAAAAAGTTAACCATTATCCATCCTAGGCATTCCATAGATCCAGCAATAAGCCTCAGTAGTATGAGGGCTAGTTTAAACTAATGAAATTTTTCAAGGAATGAAATAAATCTAAGATCTTTCTTACAGAATCCCAAGGAAGGTGATCCTGAGCCTTGTGGCAAGCTTTCATCTGAGTTCAGAAAGACCTGAAGTGTAATTGGAAAATAAAAACAAACCAACAAAAACAAACAAAAAAACCCAACAAACAACAACAACAAAAAACCAAAACGAACAACACAAATATTGGCCCATAATTACATCATTACAGGAACTGGTATTTCAAGAAAAATACACAAAGTGGGGGGAGGAAAGTAATAAAATTCCAAGACAACCAATGTTGCTGCATTATGGACTGTATTTCAGAATATTATGTAGGCACCGCTGTCTTTAAATCAATTTTATTCACCAGGACTCCATCCACACTATGCTTTTGATGAGTCCATGCATCTCAGAAAGCTGGCTGGGCTGACTTCACGTGACAGACTAGAGCATTCTGCTCACTGTGCTCCCCTCAGACTGGCAGCTCAGTCTAGCTTTTGCCAACTACCATTATTCTTTCTGTCTGTAGAACTGTAGCCTCAATAAAAAGACAGCCAAGATACCCAAAGACACAAGAAAACCAGTAACATGGCCGGAGTGCTAAAAAGATACCCTCCTTAGAACATCATTGCTGAGCAGTGTTCCTTATAAGAAGTGGTGACCACTGCTCTGGGCCTTCATGAGGCGAGCTCAGGCTCCTCCTTAGTCCTGTCCTGGGATGAAAAGGAAATCACGGTATGAACACCCTTCTGAAGAAGCCAAGCATAGAGCACAGAACCTGTCTGCCTAGGACAGATGGAATGTCTTTGGCCATTTCCAGCTATTTCATGCATCTCCCTATGATCTTTCAGATAAGCAAGAAAGGGAAGGACATGAGTGTGCCCTAAGGTCAGCTAGGTCCTATATGAGTTCTCCAAACCCCAAGGCAAAACACATGCTGTGTGCTGCCTTTTAATTTCTACTCTGCTTCGGCAATACTTTTATTATTATTATTACAAGTAGCTGTTCTGTAAAGCTTATTGTACTAATTTCTTCTGTATGTCTTATCCATTTGTATTTTGGAAGACAAAATATTCTCAAGTGTGTGAGAGTCCCTGAGCAGAAAATTCACATAAGCACAGCTGGAAACATGCATAGGGAATTTTGTTTCATGGGCAGTAATTGAAACCAGCTAATCTAAATGCTGCCACAATACAGAATCATTGGGTGCAGATGTGCATAGATCACCTGCGTTTGGCAGTGGGCCTTTCTGTGAACCTCCCTTCAAAATAGGTATCACTACCTCGTGCACTTGTGGTTTTAAAATACCCTAACTGTGGGACCAGCAGATTTATTGCACTGCAGCCAAGGGAAGGACAGAAGAAGGTTACTCTGCTTATCTAGCCAGTGGACGTTGCTTCTGAGCTGGCAGGGTTAAAGAAAAACAACAGGGATGGTCTAGATTAGCTACAGGTCAAGCTTTCCATGCACAATCTACTTAAACAGCCCCAACAAGAAAAAGATAAGGACCAATCCTCCGGTGCAGATACTATGGACTGCTTGACTGTATGTGCCCTCCTAACAGCATAAGCAACCTAGAACTACCAAGGTAAATTGATGCCATGGTTTCAGTGATTCATCAAACATAACTCTAATTATTCACTGACACAGCTAAGTTTTTGGAATTAGCTATAATTCTTAATAAATTTCATCACTTAATCAGAATGTTCTTAATACTAGTATTTCAAAAGTTATAAAAAAACCTGCCTGCTCATGAAGGGGGGGCTGGAACTAGATGATCTTTAAGGTACCTTCCAACTCAAACCATTCTATGATTCTATGATCTCTGCTCACAAATACTCACATTAGGCATCTGCTCATCCAGCATCCTAACTTTAAACTTTAATTCAGCTGACTCTCTTGGAAAAATACATTTAGTTGGAATCCTCAGCCAAACAAAGAGGTCATTGCATATTTGATCCATGTAAGTGCAAAAACTGACTTCATTAACCAGCTGCATCTTCCCTGTCCTACATTTTTTACTGCACTGTACGATTCTCTGCACAATACAGAGATAATAGTGAGAAAAACAGGAGGAAGGAAGATTAAGGCTACTCAGCCATGTGATGATGCTGCATATGGAGGGGCAGCACAGATTATGACAAGGAAGCAGGAGTTGGAGTTTGGAAAGAATATTTTTCCTCAGTAAAACAATCACTTGCTCCCCTGATGTCATGACTCCCACCTGCAAATAATTCCACTCACATGTAGTCCCCTAATAATTTTACCTTGAGTTGTCTCAAAACATGCTCATCACATTAAATCTGATCTCCCACTGTAAGTCACCTTCACAAACTTCCCAAACACCTTTCCTATTAACCAGCTACTAGTTAGTCCTTAATATTCCAAGGCACAAACAATTATCCAAATAATTGGTCAGAAAAACTATCTTTAATGGGGAAATTATCCCATAACTAGCTACTCCATTCTTTCACCTTTCTCTAAAACATTTTAATAGATCCCTGTCAAGAGATACGATATTTGTTTAAATAGTCTACTGGAACAGTATTTTAATTTTCTCTTCCCACTTTACAACTATAGCCTCCTAAGCAAAACATTCCTGTTATACATCGATAAATGCTTACTATTCCTCTAAGAAAACTTCACTACAGCTGTGGTATTAATGCAATTAATATTAACCAACCTTGTAAAGAATGTGGTTTAGATGTACCCGCAAGGTCTTCCTGGTGATCACATGGGTGAAAAATTAGCTGTTGCAAAACAGCAGGACATATTGTAGAGAAGTCTGAATTTGATATGTAACTGTTGTTTGGTATCCCATGCAAAGAAAAAATTTCCTCACCAGTCAAGCACTGAAACAACAAAGGATTTTGTCAACTTAATACATTAATGCAAAAAAAGAAGCCATACACTGAGAAAACAAATAATTGCAATATGAAAATAATGTAATGCATTTTCAAGAAAATGTACACAGTGTTTTGCATGCTGTGTATGAAAACATTGACTATTGTGATGTAAAAGTAACTCAAAGTATTTTAAGTAAAATAAATCGTAAACGAACAAAACATGTTTTAAATACATTTGCAAATCTTATGCTCTATGATACAGGACAGTTAAGCCTTACAATGTATTTGGAAAAATAGCTTCAAAGCAATTAAAATCTCATGCAATTACAAAATAATTAAACTTAAGAGCAGTCTAGATACAGTTAAAATCTCAGTGACAGAAAATTACTGGTAATTCAATAACTGCCTATTCATCTAAGTGATCACTTCTACTTTACAACAATGCTTATTTGTCTCCCCAAATAAGCTGTTTAAAAATGATCTAATTGTTAGCAGTACTCCAACTTTTTAATTCTTTTCAAAGTAATAATTGTTAGCAGCAAACATTGTTTCATAAAACCATCCCATACACCAACAAGAAGTACTTGTATATCGGATCTTCGCTTTGACTTCAGCTCATGACATAAAAGTATCAAGAGGTCACGGATAAATGTACTTAACAGTGCTAAACCAAGCCAGGGCTTGTTGCTCTGTTCATTATTTCCAACCACAAGATAAAAGACAAACCACAAAACACCTCAAAATATACATATCATGGGTGTAAATTGGAGCATAGGAAGTTCAAGGTGAATATCCGAAAAATTTTTTTTACTGTGAGAGTGACAGAGCACTGGAACAGACTGCCCAGGGAGGTTGTGGAGTCTCCCTCACTGGAGGCATTCAAAACCCACCTGGATGAGTTCCTGTGTGATGTACTCTAGGTGACCCTGCTCTGGCAGGGGGGTTGGACTAGATGATCTCTCGAGGTCCCTTCCAGCCCCTAAGATTCTATGATTCTATGATTCTATGATATTTGTATATACTTGTATATATTTTCTTTTATCATTGGTGTTTAATTAAAGCCGCCTAGTTTAGTCTTCAATCCAGAGAGTCTCTCATTCTCTCTCTCCTTCCCTGCTTGGGTGGGAGAGGAAGGGGATCGAGAGCATTGTTGTCAATCTGAGTCAAACAGTGACAGGCTTACTGCCTTACAACAAACACAGGATCACAGAATTACAGAATTGCCACGGTTGGAAAAGACCTCTAAGATCACTGTGTTCAACAGTCAACACCCACCGCCCACCCCAGCGCCCCCCCAAAATAAAAAAACCTACTAGAACATGTCCTGAAGTTCCTCATCTACACAGTTCTTAAATACCTCCAGGGATGGTGACTCCACCACCTCCCTGAGCAGCCTGTTCCAGTGCCTGACTACTCTTTCAGCATATATGTTCTTCCTAACATCTAGCATAAACCTCCCCTGTCGTAATTTCAGACCATTTCTTCTAGTCCTGTTGTTATTCACTTGAGAGAAGAGGACGACATCCATGTCCCTACCACTTCCTTTCATGTAGTTGTAGAGAGCAATGAGGTCTCCCCTCAGTCACCTGTTCAAACTAAAACTAAACAATCCCAATTCCCTCAGCTTTCTTCTCTAGCCCCTCCACCAGCTTGGTTGCCCTTCTCTGAACTCACTCCGGCACCTCAATGTCCTTCTTGTAGTGAGGGGTCCAGAACTGAACACAGTATTTGAGATGTAGCCTCACTAGTGCCAAGTACAGGGGCAAGATCACCTCCCTAACACACACCAGGGTTGATTCCCAAGACTGAAACAAAAGTCAAACACTTCTACGTGAGGCAACAGGTTAAGAGCATAACTCTTCCTGTAGCAAATCTCAGCATGTTTGCAAAAGTAGAGCACCAGAAGCCTTAACAAATTTTTTTTAATGGTCACTGCCTGCTCTTTTCAGTTTTGCTAGCCTTTAGATTCCACAGCACTTCTCCAATAATTCAAGACTATTATTTAAAAAGCAGGGTTGGTTTTTTTTTAGACACACACCAAAGCAACTGCAAGCTGTTCACTCTATCAGAGCTGTTTTCACTTCTGTCCATAAATATTTTTCTAATACTGTCCAAAAGGTGAAAGATATGCACACATCATTTGAATGTGACTCTGAAGCTTGGAGGAAAAGAACATGCAGGCCAATTCAAGTGGCTTCAGCTAAATTACATCCAAGATGTTTCCATCCCTCCTGTTTAATGATCCAGTCTAGCAAAGCACTTAAATACGTGCTTGTACTTAAATGTAAGTATAAATTTTGTTAAGGCCACAATACCTTCAATACTCAAATAAATGCAAGCAATGTGCATATACCTTCATCTTTTAATGTCTATGCGAATGTCAAAGTACCACACATAAAAAAAAATATAGCTTGGAAATGGAAAATGTTTCTTTTGTTTTAAAGCATGTTGTTCCATTTAATTTCAATGGAAGTGGTGCACAGAGAAATCATCAATGAAGATTCAGTCTTTAACAGCCCAAATATATGAACTCCTGGAAGCTTTATGAACTGGTTATGTCTCTTACCATTTTACTGTTGCATTATGGAATAATGCAAAACACTTGGCAAATATGTCCAGTATGAAACAAAGAGAGGACAGTAATGGTTTACAGGAATAGTTCCCATATGGTGCTTCTTGTATTACTGGCTCATAGAGCAACTTCCAGAAGTCTACAGTGAAAAGCCCTTAGAAAAACAAGCCAGTAAGAGCTGAGAATTTGTAACATAACTATGTCTAAGATAAATTATCTATAATTATCTAATTCCTAGAAATACAGAATGGACTACTAGTATTTTAAAATACTAATATATCTATGCTATTAGTTCACAAAAATCCAAACCATGTTGAAGATAGAAAAACAGATTATGGAGAGCAAATAAATCAGACACAGCATGAATTACTACACTTGATACTTGTAACTTTGGCTACATACAAACAAATGGTTGAGAAACACCATCAGAGAAGAGCTCTATGTGAATGTGAGAAACAGCATTGTATTTAATTACTATTATTATTATTTTGATCAGGGACAAGCCCAGGGGATAATGATTCCTATAAATGATTAGTCACCACATTCTCTCACTAAACTCCTAAATACATCCAAGAGCTAAAAAGCAAGCCTGAATGAGTTCACTGGCACCATTAAAAGATTTAATTAAATGATTAAATCTATTTGAAGCCTTGAATTGGAGCAATTCATGTTTGCCCACTGCAAAACTCTGCCTTTGTCTTTGGAGGATAAATACATTAAGACACCCACATTGCTATAAGAACATAAGCTATTTATTTCACAAGACTGATGGATGGTCTCTACAGAAAGGAAATTCAGCCTCATGGAACAGAAGACTGAGTATGACGTCCTGGCTCACCAAGTCTACCTCTGTGTCTGCCCCCTGCTATTCAATAAGCCTTGTCATGGCAATTAGGTGAGGGGAGTGGCTGGAATGTGACTGTCACCCAGTGATCAATAAGCAACTGCAAAAAATACATTACAGAACTGATCATGTCCTGAAACTGTTAAAAAATTCATTTTTACATGCTTTCATCAAAATTTTGGAGGACTTAAATCAGTAAAATTCACACAAAGTACTCAGACTTTACAAAAATAGACCATCAATGGGGTTATTCAAACAGATGTTTACTTCTCTTCTGGTAAGGCTCTGCCAAAAATGATTGACCAATATGAAATTATTTTTTTTCAAGAGCCCAGCTACCTAGAATCTCTTTACACCAGTATCTTTATAAACGAGAAGTGGATGCCAGTTCACCACAGCCTTTGAAGAAAAGGAAGGGATTATTGCTCAGACAAAAATAATGCCGAAAGGACCTTTAAAAAAAAATGCTACAGTATCAACCATCTCGTAAATGCTTCACCCTTCTCATCTTCTGCCATGTTGTTACATTTGCTCTTCGTTTTATCTGTAGCATTCCACATGTGAAGTACTAAGATACCCACCAGCAACCTGGACTACATTTTCTAGATGTGTCCAGATTAAATACCAGCTTAGCCCACACCTGGGTTGAGCAGAGGAGGTCACACAATAGCAACAGCAAAAAAAGAATGCAGTGAATACCCATCTGATCAGCATTTTTTCCCTTCTTTTTCACTTAGCCTGCACCTGGATAAGGCAAAATAGAGACATATGACAATGTTTTCCTCAACTTAATTTTAACAAATTAAAACACCTAACATTGATGTGGTGGCATCTTTTTATCACTCAGCACAGTAAGAAATAGATGCTAGGATACAACCTTTCCTTCAATAAGGAGCACTCCATGAGAAAGAGTCAAACCAATGAAGCTGCTTAAATGTACTCACATACTCTAGGGATTTCACTTACTCCCTAACATGTTAAAGGCAGCTGTTCATGCTGGGAGCTGAACACTGTCCATGACTGCTGAAATTTGATTATGATTTTGGAGAAATAAGACACATAAGAGTGTGGAACAACTAAGCCTATTTATCTCATTGATCGAGCAACATCAGATTATGGTGTTGGATCAAAACCATAAGCCACACTCTGTCAGACCATTCCCTCTTTCAAAAAGCAAAAGTTGTAACTAGTGAAGCACTACCAAAAAGACAAAACAAAACAAACAAAAAACAAACAAACAAACACCACACAAAACCCAAACCAACCCAAAATCAAAGCAGGTGCTAGCCTGGTTCTAGTCTATCTGAAAAATTAAAGTTACTGGGTTTTGACCCATCCTGAGGTGAAAATTTATTAAATCAGATAATGAGTATTAATATAAGATTTTAACCTCATTTTGTCCAAATGTTTAAAAATGAAAATGCCTTATATTGATACAGAGTATTCAGGCATAACATCTAGACTGTCATAAATATAGATTTAGAAAAGTTAAGTAAGGAAATCGGAACATGATTTTAGCACCTACAGATTACATCAAATCACAAAATAAAGCTGAAGTTAACAAGCTTTCTTTCCAATGCCCATTTACCTTCCAAGTATTTTTGGATCAAAACTTTTGAGCACGTAATTTAATCCTTCAGCACACACATGTATGGCTATTGTACTTCAATGAACCCAACGACAGAAGATCAAGTATAGTTTAATGTTTTTACAACATATCTTGCTAATAATGCAAAATAGAGTGAGTAAACATACCATCATCTATTACACTGAAATTGCTAATTGTGTCCCTATTAGTAGGACTAAAATGTGTCGGAATTCCACATTAATATGTGAAAAAACTGCACTGACCAATATTTGAGTTTGCTCAGTTACTACTTATTTCTCTGAAAGGAAGTCTTAGCTTATACATTAAGAAAATATAATGGAAGAAAATTTGAAGAGCAAATAAATTTCAGATAGAAAATAAAGAGAATTATAAAAGTGCATGATGAAATAAGATAGCAAAACTATAAGGAACTGGAGACAGTTCAATCAAAAATTCCAAAACCGTACTCAAATTTATTTTCTCTTTTGTCTTTTACAGGAAAAAAATAGCATATTCATGGACATCATAGGACATAAGTTACCCTAAAAGCCTACAAAACTACACATTCAAATACCATCATCATCAAATTATTTTTTTTTTTTTTCTTGTCTTTTTAAGTCTACCTGGAATCAAAGGAAAACAGAAGTCAAGCATTCATTTTCTGGCTGACATATCTATACTCTTTAAGAATACGAATCAGCTTCTGGTGCATAATCTCTTATGAGATTAATGGGCTTACCAGAATGGTTATGAATAGAACATTAAAACTAAACACTAATACTGGGATAAAACTAACAGAGAGTGTTCCTTCCTGACAGTTTTTGGAAGTGCTGTATCACCTATTCATTACAGATGAGCTCTCCACTAAAAATGACTTCATGCTCGGATAACAGACTCTCTGATAGAGCAGGGGTGTGTTATCTTGATTGGAAGAAAGGTCTGGGAGTCACCCCACTAGCTCTGGACACTGAAGTTAAGAACTGAAAGTTTAAGATAAACCTTGCTTCCTTCCACAGTTAGGTATTTATGCAGCCTGAACAGGATTCAGCCTGAGAAAGACTTGAATCACTCTTCAATTCACTTTCCTCTGTGGAGAATCAGTAATAGCCCAGGCCTCTGGTGCCTTCCAACACAGAAAGTTAGATTAGGCCTCTTTATGTCTTGTGTCATAACCAGCTGGTAAATATGCTAAATTATCGACTTGTAAGTACAAAGAATCACAGTGTTTGAAAATGGTCATGTATGGTTTACCTTGTATGAAATGTATGCATCTGCAAACACCACCTGCCCAAACTCATTGACATAACTCACATCTATGAGGGACCAAAAGCCAGGAAGCAAAATGCACTTCCTTAATTGGTACCAGCTGATGGAGCAGCTGCAAGGCCACGTTTAAGAAAAAATACAACCCAGAAAAAAATAAGCATTTTAGTGAGGTCCCCTAGATATTAAAAATGGACACAACTAGAACAGACCTGTAAAAAATCTCAGTTACACTTCAAATTACTTATGAGGAACATGCACTTACAGTAATGGGAAGAGCATTCCTTTTTTTTTTCCCTCTGTAGCCCGTGCCAAAGCCTGTGTACGAGGACTACGTGCTTCTGCAGAGGGAAAACCTAAAGGACTGAAGAATCTACTCATTTCTATGCCCTTCTAAAGAAAGCTCCTTTTCATAGCCATATTCAACACTGCAAACTTGTATTTAGCATGTGTGTCTGGGTATGTTTATGGTTTTAATACACTGTGTTGGAACAGTGTTCAATTTGTGAGATGTGAAAGCAGTGACTCTGGCAAATATCACCACGCTCATACTGAATATTACATTGTTCTCAGTGGCATTAACTCCCAGTTAAACCTCTGGTAATGGTAAAGACATCAGAATTACACTCTAAAACCAAGGGAACTTATCCAAGGTTTGTTTCCTTCACAGAACAAGCAACAGAACTACTACTACAAAAGTTAGGAAAAAAATAAATCTGGAAGTTCCCAGAACCATGCCTCTTCTGTTTCTCAGGGAGCTGAACCAAACCAAAGCAAAACATGTGCCTGATTCCTGAGCATAGGAAAATCACCACCAGCCTCAAAATTTCCCCTGAAGTCTGGTCCACTTAAGTCCAGGTCACTAAAGAAATATGAAATTGCTAAGGCTTTAAAATGAGGTCTGAGTTTTGTATGAAGAAACTAAACAGAATAAATTATTTTTAGGAAAGGTGGTATTCCCATGATATTTAGTCAATAATTAAACATCATCCGAACCAGCATTTAGTAGATGCATTGAAGGGTGCACACTTGGCAACCAGATTAAAGATGTGAACGTTTCTGTAGAAGGTTCTTTACACAAGCTAGATGTGCCTCTCGGCAACTTCGTGTTTCCACAGGACAACTGCACTGCAACAAGTCCTGAAGATTTACAGCTCTTGCAGGGCAACACCGGCTGATTCTCATTCTTTTTGCTGTTTACTCAGGATGCTATTGACTCGGGAGAAGTGCCAGTTTAAGAGCTGAGCAACGAAAAAAGCAGAGCTGATCCCACGGCCGGTCCCGCCCCGCAGCAGCTCCCCGAGGGACGGCGGCTTCTCCCCCACCCCGGGCCGCTCTCCCCACGGACCGGCACCTCTGCCCGGAACCCTGGCCCAGAGCCCCAGGAGAGCTGTGCTTCCCCCCTCCCCACTCCAACGTGAGGAACCACGACGGCGAGACGCACCGAACCGCGGAGCTGCGCGCCCAGCTCGGCGCTCTCCTCCCTGGACGTGCGTGTCCAGCCCAGCCCTCAGGGCCCCCCGCGGTACCTGGTTGTGGTGCAGGTGGGTGAGCGGCAGCACCGCGCCCAGGGCCGGCCC